TTTACACTCATCTACTGGCCAGGACTCTACAGTTTACACTCATCTACTGGTCAGGACTCTACAGTTTACACTCATCTACTGGTCAAGACTCTACAGTTTACACTCATCTACAGGCCAGCGGTCACTCTTTCAGGGATGAAGATGTTCTCATCCTTGATAGTGAGGAACATTGGTTTGACAGAGGAGTAAAGGAAGCCATCTTTGCGAAGAAACATCCATCATTAAACAGGGATGAAGATATCTGTGTCCAGTTGTCCCCTCTTACTATGCTGTTATCACCAGTATGACTCCGCCCCCTGTAAACAATAGGCGACCATCATGGCACTAATGATTGTTAGGCTGATGGTCCTCTCTTGCATATGAACAAACTGTTGATTGTTGTCATTAACCTGTTTGTCCTCCATGTGGAAATACTGTTTATGTCTGATTTACCTGAAACTCCTCAGACTGAAGGAGGAGAGACGAAACGTTTCAGTGAAGAAGAAACTATCCAGAGGATCTGCTCAGCTGTTGGACCTTGATTATTGAGATGCATCAGAAGGTTTTGCTTGTCTTTCTGAGGGTGGTGCATCCTTCAGTAGCTGTCTGGGTTTATATTCTGGTTCTAATCAAAGACCGGTCTCATCAGTCCCAGCTGCTAACAGACTGTAGACCAGCTGACCTGGTCTTTCCCTGTGGGCTCAGTGCTTTGATCCAGTTCCTGTTTTCCATCTTTCCTCCAGGCATCCCTGACCTGTGAGAATAGTTGACTTATTCGGCTGTTTTTGTTCCATGTTGACAGATTATTGTTATTGTTGGCCTTAAAGGTCAGCCACAGAGTGACTTCATGTTCTAGCTGCGCTCCATCTCCATCACTGAGGATTTACTAATATTTCAGCGGTGAGATTGCAGTGAACAGGTCATCTGGCCTTACAGGAGGGGCTTAGACCCACCCCTAAGGGCTTCCCTTCGTTGCTCTTACTTTCCTTTCTCTAAACATGTGCTCTGTGTTTTTCTCATTGGACAGACCAATAAATATCAGTGCACTCAGTCTGTGTGTTATGATATTTTTATCTTTTGTGTAGATGTAGAAGATGAAGTTGTAAACTCTGCCTTTCATCAGACCCTCCGTGCAACTCGCCGAGTTGATTCTAGGTCTTTATTTGACACAGGTGATTTGTTGCTGCGCAGATGAAAGCATGGAGCTTACCCTTACCCATGATGAGTGCTCTTTACTACAATAACCAGAACTGGACTTCCTCTCATTCGCTCGTTTTGTTTCCTGACTCTTTTAGTCATCATTTCTCTCTGATCTCCTCCCAAAAACACACCCGTCCTTTTCCTTCTGTTTACCTTTCCTTTAAGAAGTCTCACTAAGCAAAGTTCTCCTTTTGAAATCTCATTTCTTCTGCTTATAGTAGGTCTCCCTACATTTTTAACACTTCATTGTTATCTAAACACAGACAGTGGCTTTTAGTGTCCACAACATGTTTTACAGGCCGGCTAAGAGAGGTGTGTTAATGGAGATGACTTGGAGAAGATTTGGTGTTTTTGTCAACGTCAACTTTATTTCTAGAGCACTTTCAAAAGCAGCAACCAACTGCACCAAAGTGCTGTACAGTAATCCTAAAACAACTGATAAAAACATACTGATGTAAAAACAATAAATTAAATAGACAAGACACATAGAATGCAATGCAGAGAAGCCATAACTGGAGTTATATGATCATGTTTCTTGGTTCCAGTTATTAGTCGAGCTGCAGCATTCTGAACCATTTGGAGACGTTGTAAAGACGATTGGTCCAAGATTTTGTATAAAGAGTTACAGTAATCTAACCGTGTAGTAATGAATGCATGAATAAGTTTCTCAAAATCTTTGAAACAAAAACTTGATTTTACCTTTGCTAGAAGACGTAGATGAAAAAAGCTTGATTTCACAACAGCGCTGACCTGCTTATCCAATTTCAAACAACTGTCAAAAATGACACCAAGATTCTTAACAGAAGACTGATAAAAACGGGCTAGAGAACCAAGAATTTAGTCAGGTTTAGTAATAAGGTTCTTTTGCCCAAAAAGTATGACTGGAGTTTTATTTTGATTCAGGTGAAGAAAATTTTGGTTCATCCATGAACTAACTTCAGTTATTCTGTTAGAGACTGTAGGGAATCATATTTATCATGCATTTTCTTTATGGGCATGTTTATTTGGACATCGTCTGCAAAACAGTGAAAAGAAACATTATATTTCTTAAAAATGTGTCCAAGAGGCAGCAAGTACAATATGAACAAAATAGGGCCTAAGATTGAACCCTGAGGAACTCCGTAATTTAGCTGTGCTGCAACTGAAAAACGATGATCAATGTGAACTGAGAAACTTCTATCTTTCGAATATGATGAGAACCAATCAATGTTTTTGTGTTGAAGGAGATGTCAGCCTGAGCCATGTGTTGTGTTTCAGATGACAAGCCTGTCCAGGAGGAGGACTGGGTGCTGTGCCAGCATCCTGAGTGTCCTGACCACCGGAGGGCCTCCAAGGTAAGCCTCTTAAAACCACAACACGATGAATTTACTTTAACACCGTTTTGCATATTATCGTGCTACAGACTTTCTGGATGTGATTTGTCACATCTGTCCATGAGATAACGTTACAACTAGCTGCTGTTTGGACTGAACAAAACCTAAAATTTAATAAACCAAAGTTCTTAAATTCCTTCTGCTGCTTCAGAAGTTGAAATATATCTACAGTGAGAAGGTCTTGTTCCTTGAATGAAGCAGGTTTGGAAATGAACTTTTTGATTAGCTGTGGTTGATGAAGCTGTAGGAAAATGTGTGTTGTTCAAAATGGTATGTCTGAACAAACAGGAATCCACTTGGATTTCTTCTTAAAACTTTATTCTCAATCTTCTGACTCCAGTCAGGTTCAGACAGCCCTCAGCAGGCCTCGGTGTAAGACCTTGAGCTGAAACAAAACAAAACAGCTGCTCTGCTCTGAAGCAGAGACTCTGCAACACTGACAACTCCTCTCTGCTATAATAATGAATTGAGCTTATAATGTTCATCTCTTCCTGGTTACAGACATCAGAACGTAACTCATTCTTGTTTAGACTAAATAAAGAAGTGACAACTTTTCTTCTTATTTAAAACCAAAACCCCTTCATAGCTCCACCAGGTCTTATTTTCCTGAGCCAAACTGGACCTGAAATGAAATGTTTGGACAGAACAAACAGGTTTGGTACCTCTGGTTTGAACAATATTTCGTCTCTTGTTTTGTGCAGCAGCAGAGGGGAAGGTGACGCAGAAACCCAGAGCTGTTTTTGTTCTTTTAGGTGTTAAAAGGGGTGTGGGTCTTGGGGGGGGGGTTCTGTGTCTGACCACCAGACTGTGAAATGAATTATTCCTGTGAAGCCACTGGTTTCTGAAAATGGGAGTGTGTCCAGGAGAAGAGAGGAACCTACCATGATGTCTGAGTTGTTTTGGCTCCGTGTCTCCCCGCTGCCATTAGAGCCAGGCATCAGACAGACTCCTCATCGAGTGGAGATGTTGTCTCCCGCCCTCCTCTTTGTGGAAACAATCAAAAGGGAAGATGACAGAGAAAAGATGTTGAATTTAGACAGCTTGTTGAGAGGGAGCGAGGGTTATATTTAGTTTCTCTCCATGGCAACTGAGAATAATAAAGTAGGAAGAAGAAGAAAGAGTCGCCTCCTTCACTGTTCCACACATCGAACCATCAAACCCCACAAAATCACAGGAGACTGCTCTCATGTCACACACCATCCTGGTTTTACTGTTCAGAGTTCTGAATGAGGCCTTCTCCTGGGTCTGGGTCAGACTGGATAAGATTAAGAGGATCAGAGATGAGTTCAGAGGCTGGATGTTTGTACTCCAAATTGTTGAAGAACCCATGAACTAAAACAGCTAAAAGAAAAAGGCTTCTTTTCCCATGAGTTTGAAGATGAAGCAGTCTTCAGGATCTTTTGGGACTCACCTTTGCCTTTCCACGTTTTCCCTCAAAGGATTCAATTTTTCTTCTTCTCTGGTGAAATCAAACAAAAATAACAGAAACTGATCATTTGATTTGAGAARCTCTGTAATTGTTCCTGTTTTACTTCGTCCTTGTCCTTTGCGCTGTCTTCAGTGTCAGTTACTGAACATGTTGGAGGGTCCTGACTAGGGTTGGGTATTGAAATGGGTTTATTTCAATACCGTGTTTACTGTTTCAGTATTGTATTCCTAGACAAAAGCAACTCCCTCCAGGAGGAAATTTGCTGTCAGTCAATCCAAGAGTTAATCCACGGGCATAATTCTGCTGATGTTAAAATCATAAGCGTGCTGTGCTCGCTTCTACCCAAACCACCGAAGAGGAGGTTCTGAGACAGTGTGGCTGTGGAGCGCGTTTGGAGAGACACATTCGGCCGACACCAAGCCGAGACGAACCGCATACAAGAGAGTCCATGGAGATTGTGTGCCGAGGCTGTCACTGTTAACAGTGAACACCAGAGGGCGCAAATTAACAGCTTTCTTTGAGGCACTGAAATAAAGCATCGAAGTTAGAGCTGTGTTTCGGTCTGTGTACTACTGTGGATGTTCGCCCCGGTGCCATACTGGAACCGAGTTTCGGTACCCAACCCTAGTCCTGACATCACTGACAGAACTGTAGATGTCCTGTGTGAGCGTTGAAGCTGAAGCTCCAACAAGACCTTGTAGGCTGGTTCCAGTAGTCCTGGGAAGTAGTAATTTCCCTGTTCCCATTGGTAGATTTAAACTGGAATGCCCCTTCCAGTGGTAATATTCCACTGGTATAGTGGAAGAWATGAAACTGACCTCAGTTTTGATTTCAAGATGGCGGCTACTCGCAGCTTTAGAAAGTTAACTCTGTGACTTTTACTGTTAATTATCTTTCTTGATATTTTTGTGCATGTTTAATCACTCGCACAAGTGATGTTTTCTGAGCAATACTGTACGTTTTAAAATCATTTTATTTTCTTGACGTACGTAGTTAAGCTCTCTTTTGTCATTGTTTATGATGTAGCAGTGTTGTTGTAGCTATGTTAGCGGTAGCAATACAATCACCTGTCGGCTAATTTAAAATGCAGTTTCATCTGGTTTGTTGGGAAATGACRTCACTACCAGTTCCTGGAATACGATAAATGGAACGCAGCATGAGTTCCAGCCTCCTCCATGTAAAGAAACAAAACATCTCTCCTGGCAAAATAAATGAAAATACACCTCAGGTCATTGAATTCATAGTTAATAGCTTGCTCCTCCAGACATGCAGACCACCAGAATTACAGACATGCAGACCACCAGACTTTTATTGTGAAAACAAACTGCAGCTCAGTTTGGCCTTTATGATGCAGGTGTTTCACTTTCAGAATAAAAGACCAGTTGTTTTGTTTTTATGTTCTGGACGTCCTGAATGACAGAGTTTGCACCAGCATCTGATTCTGATCTGTTTATGTTCATTTATTGATTCTTTGGTTTTCTTTGCTTTGAGAAATCATTTTTTAAAGTAATTATTTACAAATCTTATATTTCATGACCTGTTTGAACTCACAAAACAAGCAGAACACATTGTTAAAGTACATTAAATCTGTATTTGAGACGAGTCATCAGGACTTCACACCGTTCATCCTGATGAGCGTTTGTTTTGTTAACCTTCACGTCTCTGCCTGACCTCACAGACGGAGACTACAAGATGACACAAGTTGATCTGTTCTTCTGGGGAGTTTGTTGAAAAAAGAAGCTGAGTCGTGTTGGATTTATTGCTTCCAGGCAATGAAAAGTCTTTTGTGTTGTGTAAGAGTTTTTGTTTCTGGCTGCAGCTCAGGAGTTGAACCATCTTTAAACAGCAGGGGGCGACGTTTCTGCAGCCCTGACCTCCAGGACTGCTCCGCTCTTTCTTCTCCTCATGAACTCCCTCAGATGAGTCAGGAAGGAGCACAAATATCCCTCCACTTTCACCCTCTGCACCCAGCAGACAGATTTAAACACATGGAAGAATTTTGACTCAAAGCTGAAGAGAGGGGGTGGGCGGAGTTTTATATTTTAGAGTCTTTTATTTTTCCAGACTCTCTCCTCCCATCGTATATCAGCTCCCAGCAGGACTACTGGTCTTCTAGTCACAGCAGGACCGCCCGGGACCTGGGTGAGTTCACCTGCGTGGTGATTTACTGACAGCCTCCCAGGTGTCGCCCTGCAGCTCAGATCTGTCACCACATGACACAGAAAGTCCAACACAGGTGTTTCCAGGTGCGTCTCTGTGACGGGTCAGTCTGAAGTTAGCTGCTGTGATTCATTTCTCATGACCCTGGTTAACATTTAGAACCAGTCTGAGCTTGTCCTCTGGATCCAGACTGACAAAGTCAGGCTTATTACCCCCTGATTGTCCCCACCCCTTCAGCTCCCTCACAGCTTCAGCTGTAACAGGACCAGACAAGATCACTCAGAAGGTGTGGGTCGCGTGGTAACGGGCCCCTCCTGTTCCAAACAGCTGGAGGCGCTGATGTACGAAGAGGAAAGTTACGGTTTCGTCAGAGACCAAAGGGATGAGGAAGTGTGTGTCAGCTGCTGGTGCTGCCTCTGTCGGTGTGTTTCACTTACACAAGACTGAAGGAAATAAAAACCAGCGAGTCAAAGACGTGTCTGAGTAACTGAAGTGGAACAGATAAAACTTCAGAAGCAGATGAAACAGATTTGATGAAAAATGACAAAACAATCCAAGATTTACACTGTAAAAACTGTCCACCTAACCAAGTTTTAAAATCTTATTTCAGCCAAAAAGTCTTTTTGATCTTGTTTTCAGACTGATTTACTAAACAAGAACTAATTGTGTAAGAATAATAATCTTGTTTTCAGAATTGTAAGATTATTTGTCTTGTTAGCTTGAAAATTTGACTCATTCAGTCAAAACTTTTCTGCCAATGG